AGTAAGTTGGGCATTAATTTTAGTATTATGACCGTTGGTTATCATTTAATATATCATTGTGGTTCGAAATTTCGTTAATTAAAATAGTTATTAAAGTGCTAAATTTAATAGTAAATAATCTATAATTTCCTAGCAAGCTTTTTAGTTTCTCTTTGTTTCATATCAATGTTTATATTATATTAAATTAAATAAAAAATTGAATACAAGGACTGCTGCTTGCAAACAAATTGGAACCTAATTGATAATGTCATGATTCATGAAAACAGCTAAAAATTACAAAATATGTGGTGAAGCTAGTCATAGCAAGTTAGCAACTGATACTGTGAAGATTTAGGAAACAATGCAGTTCTATACACACTATGCATAATGCCTCAAATTATACAATTTGGCATCTGGCTACCAGCCTCGTTTTGATGCAACTTGTTTCCAGGTCTCGAGTTATTGTGCATATCATGTATGTATTGTAGAATATAGAATAAAACACTTTTCTAGGCCTGCTACTTCAAGTACTGCATACTTGCATTGCATAATGCACAAACAAAGCAAAATACATAGTGTGTATACAATATCCAGATTTTTCCTTAACTCGCCTTATCTCGCCTTAACTCGCAAGGGTCAGTAGCCAGATTTTTCCTTAACTCGCTCTATCTCGCCTTAACTCGCATAGGCTCGCCTTATCTCGCGGCGAGTTAAGGTCCCATAGCAGGCCTTCCCAAGGCACTATGAAAACAAAACGACCATTCATTTGTTGGTCAAAAGGATGACTAATACTCATAGACATAGGTGCGTATTGTTATTTTGTTCTTGTAATTTTCCTATATATAGGAACAAGTAAATAACAAACTTTTATTGGAGCAACTCTCTAGTCTCTGCTGGATTTTCCGTCGGCCGATTGAAGAAAATTTACCAAAGGTTGAACTTAGGACTCAAAGCGATTGTGAGCGATTTGGGCTTAAACACCGAAGGCTTTTTAGACTATATACGTGCTATTGCACATGCGTCAAAGTTACAATAAATGTTATTTCAAGACGTTGTTTTCAAATAATTGAAATGTCGGTGAATTCTCCTGTCGGCCTAATGTCCTGTCGGCCTAATGTCCTGTCGGCCTAATGTCTTGTCAGCCAAATGTCCTTTCGGCTAAATGTCTGTCGGCCAAACGTCTGCGCACCGTTTTCGACACACTTTGTGTCCTTGTAAAAGGAAAATGTGTTTTTGTAAATTGAAAAGTGTGTACTTGGGACATGTACTTAAGTACTTTGTCTTGAGGGAATAAAGCCCAGAAAATCCATTCCCAGTCATGTGTTTATTGCCTGATGATATAGCCGGATATATATATATATATATATATATATATATATATATATATATATATATATATATATATATATATATATATATATATATTTATATATATATATATATATATATATATATATATATATATATATATATATATATATATACCGGGTGTCCCAAAAAAAAGTACTCCGGTTTGATTCGTAATAACTTCTAAACAAATAAAGCTTTTAACGAGAAATAACTTGCGTCAAATATAGGAAGGACTAACTTAGATTGTGATATATTACAGTTGTATTTCACTTAAAAATTCACGGAGATATTAATGTTTAAATTCGGGAGCATATTTCTGGATGTGTCTGAAATATGCAAAAAACGGCGTATCAAATATTAATCAAGATTTTCCCGACTGAAACATGCACTATTACCAGTAAATAAAATGACACTTGACAAATTGTTTATTATGAAACAAAGTATTATTATCTACAAAATACAAGCAAGTAAGGATTTATTCGTCCGAAATCCGCGTGTGTTCCTAGCACGAATACGTTTCCTTATTTCATGAGACCACTGCATTGTGAAGGATCGTCATGGATCGTTCGTAGTTCTGAATTAGGGTATGTTGTCACAATGGAATTGTGAATTTTCTAACTTCACATTGAATGAACTTTATAACTTCTGCAACGTTCTGAAATCTTGTTAAGAACACCCAAACTCTTTTGCCTTTCTTAATCTTGGCAAGTTCAGAATAAACTGAGAATGAAACACAATCAAACTATGCAAACAACTCCATAAGTAAAGACATACAGTAACAATCAACTCCCCAGAGACATCCAACATTTTTGGAACAAAACGTAACAAAATAGCGCTAGCGTTGATACTGTGATGTGTATTTGCAAAAAGCAATATTATTTCCTTCATTAAAGAATAATATTCATCCTGCTCTAACCGAGAAATAATCAACTTTGTTTTGAACCCATTAAAAACATAAAAAAATTAGGCTATTTAAGAAAAATTTAAGCACCTGCCTTGCATGGTCTTTCATGTACGTTTAAGTTGCAAAGACCTATTAAATACTTGCACATAATTTCGAACGTTCATATTTCAGGAAACAATGAGTTAAGACTTACATGTAAGATGTCTAAATCTACGCCATATCCCTTACAAACCCTAACGACAATTCGCTGAAATACAAGTTAGCCTGATATGTCATTAAGCAAACAAACGCTGGAGTTAATATTTGATATGCCGATTTTCGCTAATTTTAGACACATCCCAAAATATGCTCCCGATTTTGAACATTAATATCTCCGTGAATTTTTAAGTTAAACACAACTGTAACATATCAAAATCTAAGTTAGTCCTTCCTCTATTTAATGCAAGTTATTTCTGTTTGATAGATTTACTTGTTTAGAAGTTATTATAAGTCAAACCGGAGTACTTTTTTTTGGGACACCCGGTATTCATCCACCTGTTTCAAAAATGGCTGGTAAAAGTTAACCCTGGTTTAGATGCTAAATTTGTCCTCAAAATTTTCTCCCACTTAATTGTTGCCAAGGCTATGTCTGTACTTCATGCTGGTCAAAAAGACAATCTGATTTATCACACTGCTCGATGCTTTGGAGAACAACGCCATGGAGATGTTGGTCTGATGCCATTGGATAGAATGCCCTTTATAGGAGTGAAGGCCCACTTGGCCTTTTTTAACAGTATTTTGTAATGATGTTACACAACTAATTCAGATAAAGTTTGAGAAATGGTGGTTCTTTCAATGTTAAGCCCCAGAGAGGGGGGTGGGGTCGGGCATATGTGGGGCATTTGATTTTTTGAGCAAATTTTCAATCAAATGCCCCACTGTTAGGTAATAAATATTGGTCAAACACCCCACCATTTTGCAATAAATTGCAATAAATACTATATTAATAAAAGTCATTTTGGTTCAAATTGCCCTAACTCAGGCCCAAAATGCTAATCAAAATCCCCAGAGTGGGGATGCAATGATGATCAAATACCCCACATATGCCCACCCCCCTCTGGGGCTTGACATTGATAGGTGCAATTATATGCAGGGTTTTTTTGTATTCTCATGTAATGTACCACAAAGTATCAGCAGCATGTTATTGTGGGACCTTTGATCAATATGTATATAAATAGACATATTTTTGTTTTATTGTTGCATTAATTTTAATGAAAAATAAAAATTACTCACAAAGTTGGTCAAGTGAATGTACAAACTATTTATTTCTTCATTTAGTACAGCCCATGTTACAATTATGTACTTGTCTTAATTGCATGAGTGTGCATGACAGACTTTTTTATTTTAATTGTGCACACCCACTTATGATTAACCTAGTTTTTGTTTATGAAAATCTAAAAAGTTACCTAATTGAAATAAGATCATTTCTATAACTTGCTAAACCTAGTCAGTTACAATTATATCACAAACATCTGTCAACGTACACTCGTGCTCTCCTTACCACTTGAGTCTCCCACTCACCACGTCGCTTTATGAAAATTTTTTGATAAAATCCTATTTTAAAAAAGTCAACCCTATACTTGATATGCTGAACATAGACCTCTAAGATATCTCCTGTGGCAATTAGTCGGTGCAAATACTCGCATAGTTGAGAAGCAAGATAACCAATGTGTGTCCATCCAGTTCCATAGTCTACATCAATTGCAATTGCAATTGCACTTGGGTCCATTGGATTCAATGGCTCTGGCCGTATTCTTACATTCACTGGTTTATCTTGTCCATGAAGAGCAAGGTATGCTGTTGATGTTGGTAATTTTTCTCATGAGCAGCACCGATGCACTTGAATGGTACAGCATGGGTGATTTTGTCCTCGTCACTTTCATCCTCATCACTTAACTGGTCACCACTTTCTGCCCTATCACCTTCATTACCATATCCATGCTGACCAGGTTCAAGACCAGCCAACCACTCAAGTAGATCTCTTAAATCTACAAAATCATAACAAGAAAATTTTTATTTTAGTATTTTGTACATAAACTGTAATCTCTAAAATTAGAAATCTAATGCAAAAGTGTGTCACTATTTACAGTAATATTTATAGAACACACAAATATGGCAATATTTTACAGATGAAAATTGAAAAATATCACTATTGTATGCACATATATGTAAAAATCTATCCACAACTAGATACAAACAGGCATTATACTTCAGCAAAAATTTATTAAACAATTTGTTTAACTCAAAGCATGAACATATGTATCACAGTGACACAGTACACAGACACACACAATAGGGTCAAACTAGAGGCATTTATAAACAAATATTACGCCATATTTTTTTGTACAGTGTATTTATAAAATTACAGTACAAGGTTAAAAACAACAAAGCGGATAATAATTTGACTAAATAACAAGGTAACTGTAATGCATTGTAGTATACCAACCTTAAATATTGCGCTTGTTTTCACGTTGATGATACACGGAGATTTAACGTCATCCAAGTTAGAAAGAAGAGCCTCGCTACTGGGAATATAAACACAATTCCTTCGCTCAGACGCATTTATCAAGCTAAAATGACAACTGTCCCATGCAAATATTTAAAAAAGGTAAACTTGGTATAGTAAAACACAAGTCATAATGATGATCGCAACAATACAGCAATAACATGCTGTTTCTTTTCACAAAGTATCGCAGCCTGACACTCTTGTCGTTCGAAAGCTTCGATATTGGTTTAGTCAGAGAGATGTTCACTCCTCGACAGTCAACAGTCAATGAAGTCACGCACGGAATTAGGCGCTCAATACCCATGATGCTTTGCGGCCTGCTGTCCAACCTCCTCTGGACGCTAGTGTAGAAGTGGAAGTCCTCGAAGTGCAAATGTACACTTTACGAAAATCTGGACCGGACAACATGATCATCATCGCTTGTCGTGTATGTGATAGTGGCTACCCTGCAAAAATGATTAAAAATGTTTATTTTCATTTTTGACAGGACAAAGAAAACCTGTCATTCTCAGAGACAGTAATAACTTAGCACAGATGTTTGACCCTATCTACTTTCCAGCCTGTAATGAAGCTGTGCAGGTCTATGAAAATTTAGGAGAAAGGCTAACCATGGAACCGTAGTGTGGAGAAGACTTGTTAAATGGTGATGAAGATTTGCAGACCAGGAGAGAATTACTTTGGTTAAATAATACACCTGATGTGAATGTTATATGTGGCCACCTTGTGAATGATCTTGACCACTCTTTCAGACATGCAGTAAATAGTTTTTGTGGTCTTACCAGGTAGGTAGTTTTCCACTTGATGTATGAATTAACATACTACAATTGTGGTTAAAATATTGGCACACTTGGCACTGACTCCCAACATAATATGCATATGCACTTGCTACCCCAGTTAATGTTGGCTGTATAGTGGGTTAGATTTAAAAGGCATTACACAGCATTGATTAGGGATGGGGGATGGAGGTACGGTCTTGACATAACATTGTAGATACAATGTGGATGTACTGTACATATCCATAAATCAGTTCCTATCGACAAAATTAATGAGTTTGCCTTTATTACTAAAGGGCCTATGCTACACAATACGATTATAAGTTTCCTGATGTATAAATTATACACTCGCTATTACTTTTTGAGTCAAATTATACACTTGCTATTACTTGTTGAGTTGCAATGGATGGCATAACCATAACATTGATATCCATCTGCCCCAAGATACGATCCATATGTACACCTAATCATATCATGTAGATAGGCCTTAAGCATAAACACTATGAGAGGTCGGACGGCTGGGCAAAAAGCTTAAGTGGGCATCACTACATTTTTTCAAAGCTTAGCATCTTAAAAAACTGGTACCTAAAGTTGTAGTCAGTTGTACCTAAATTAAGGTCTAAGACTAAGTTTAAGGAATTATGTACTGGACATAGTACATATGATATTTTTTGGTTTACAAAGCCATCATGCATGTTATTTGGTCCTGGTCGTGCTTAGAATTTCAAACGTCCTTCAGAAGACAAGCTCCCGAACCACATAAACGTTTGACATTAAAGGAAACTTTCCATGTTTAACAGAATGCAACAGTCAGTATAAAGTTAGTATAATCAAAATGTATACACGGATTAGACAGCCTTAAAGAGTTTGAATTTCCACTGTGATATATGTCATATATATATATATATATATATATATATATATATATATATATAGTCCATAGATGGCATAGTTTGTTTCTATATGCCATCATTTTTAGAATTTTACATTTTGAGCTGACTAAGAAATTCTAATCCAGGTACAATATGTATTCCTTCAGTATCATGTCTTCTGCAATTTCGACAAGCTCTTGTTGTGGCAATAGCTGGAGTTATAGACGTTTGACAGCTAAGTATTTTATACCCCAGCAATTCGCAAAGACGGCCAGTGGTTGTAAAACATATTTGCGAATGATACACTGCAGCTCCTTTCCAATTTCAAAAATAAATTTTGTCCTTTCAAACATGGCTAGTGCTGTAACATTTCTTGGTAGATGTCCTCAATTATGTCATTTGTAAACCAAAAATGCAACTACAGTACCATCCAACAGAAACTATACATCGAGCATGTTTTGCGTTCGAGCGAGCATTGAGAATCTTGCTTCTCGAATCGTGTTACCTATCGAGTTTCATGAAGCGCGATTCGAGTCGTCGCGATGCAAATTGAAGAAATTTTCGAGAAACAAGATTCAAGTATCGAGCATTCACGAAGTGCATGATTTAAATGAGTTATTAAGAACTGCGATGCCACGTTTAATTGTATTTATTTCAGAACCATCTACAGAGATGTGAAAAACTAGTTTCACATTGTTTTTTCATATTCGTGCAGTTCAGATTAATTGTATTTACCCATACACATGTTCCGTTTATATACTGTAAGATGTCGTGTGTTAATGAATTAAAACCGCAGTTTGCAGTCCTTTCCATACCTGTTAAGTTTTTAATTGGCGAATTTGTATATATTAATTAATAACAAATCATATATCATAAGAAAGATATTTAATAGTTGTAAGACAATTATGCAACATTTGAGTATAATGAACTTATTAATATCATCTATATACTTCTCCTTTTCTTCTAATTATTACATTGAAATTTTGATAACACAATTACACACAGATTTCAAACGGTTCTCAACAGTTAGTATCTTTGACACCTTGTCAAAGTGGACGCCACTAGCTATTGAATATCACATTTCCAAACGCACGTCTAACGCTTAAACTCAAACATTTTTACTCTTTATTTATATGACTTTACTTTTTGTTGCAAGCCATTATATGGCTTGCAACTATCATATACTTAAAATCTGTCCTGTCCTGTCCAATTGTCCTGTCCACTTTTACGTGCAGTTACGATTTCGTGTCGACCAATAGGGAGGTGGCCGACAGATCACGGAAATAGGCCGAACCTAATTACTGTACATACACGATTTTCGTCTGTTTACAACTACGCTCTGGCGATGGCCATATTTATATATAATTTTTAGATGGCTTGCTGCTTTTCGTCTTTTCGATACAAATTGTAGGCAAATAATTTGTTCTCCAAGTAATAATTTCCTCTCGAATACTACAAATTATTCTATATTTTCAATATTTCTTATATTGAAACTTCGTAGAACTCACAAATATGAAAATATATTTCACTGCTCACAATTATTTTAAGCTCACTCATGTACTTTATGAATATATCAGTAATTCAATATATAATTGCAGTATTTCATTGCCGAAAATAGTTTATAGAATATAGTTCGAACACAAAATATATTATGATGCAAACGCGGATGCACGTATGTCATATATAGCTATTTGTACTATTAGCCAACTTTAAAAATAAAGCAATCGGCCATTCTGGCTTTTAAACTCGGACTGTCTATAAAGTCCAAGATCAATTCTGCAATAGCATATACTCTATCTTTGTATTTTATGGCATTGTACAGTGTAACACAACTTACTATGTGCACTACTACAGTACTAGTATAAAAGCTTTCGCGTTCCGTGAGTTTAATTATAATTCTTTTAAATGGATGTATTACTACTGTACTGCATAATTAGCAGTATTATTGGCAGTTTATAGTTAAGTTTCTGGTTTGTTATTTTCGGCTTTATACATACAGTGCACGATCACTTAAAGTAATACTGGCTAGTTATATAGAACAATGTAAAAGCCGTGCACATAGCCATAGCCGTATTGCGTTCCGTAAATATAAATTCTCATGAACTATTAAATCAGGGCTCGAGACGGCCGGGGCGGTGCCGGTATTATACTGTAACTGACTCAGGCAAAACAACTCGTATAGTCAATTTTATGTGATAAAGTGACGAATTACACTATAAATAATATTCCTGACCCTGTGACAAATTTGTGGTGAATTTTATTTCCAATTCTCAAAAATATATTAATTCCTGGTCATGGCTATTTTTGACATCCTTGTTTTTTTTATCAGGCAACACTGAATCAGATCTATTTTTACGTTTTGTCGCGTGTTGTGATACGAATTTTTCTCACTCGACAAATTAGCTGTCAATCACAATGTCAAAAGGCCAATAGACAAGCGGATAGCGCTTGTGACGCGTTGGTCAGGTGATGTGTTTAGCCAATAAATATTCTCGGTTTTCGCAAACATCGCACAATACGCAGTAAACGTCAAGAACAGAGTGTTTGTACACATATAAATAGCAAAATGAGTTCCAAATTAGCGACAAGTCCTGTAATCGGATACGTGCATAAACTTTCTCCCCTAAAGCAAGGAAAAAAGAAGAAATGGTGTGACTTGGAGTTACAAATGAAAGATAAACGTATGAGGGTTGTTCGCTTTTCAAAGGCAAAACGAGACATCTTCCAGGAAAAGCAAGAGACGCTTAGTCCTGTTCAGATCAGTAACTATCTCATCGGACCAAGCTGGCAAGGTGACGAACAAGAAATTAAAGTTAATGACATGACTGTTGTTAGCGCACCTACCACCTCGCAGTACAATTTCCAGTATATTCCTGATGAGGAATCCAGACTCGTACCACTGAAAGAAGTAAAAGAAAAGATCGAAGCTGGCGAGAAGATTCGCGTTAAGGGGAAGATAAAGAAAGGAAGCAAAGTGGAGTCCGTTGGAAACAGAGGTCTTCGAATGCTCAAAAGCACGATTACTGATGGCACAAGCACTATGTTTCTGACTATTTGGGAGAGCGAGATTGATGCCATACAAGATAGCAAAGTGTACATTATTGATGATGTTAAAGTCAACTTCAGCTACGTGACCAAGACACTCACCACAACTAAAAATTCAGTGTTTACTCTTGTTGATGATGATGACATGGAAGAGGTAGAAGAATCTGTAGCACTGCAGATGTTAGAAGAGCCAAGCGAAACCACATTATTTGTGCAATCTATCAGGTCGGTAGAAGTCAATAAGTATCATACTTGTAATCATTGTAACAAAAAGCTTTCCGAAGGCTTGCGCACTAAAATTGTGAAATGCATGCGATGTTCGCATAGAATGCGGTTGGCAGATTGTAACATCGATGTTTCTTGTCAGCTCACTGTTCAAGAAGATGACAGTGAAATTCAACTCACAATTTTTAGCGATGTCCTGGGAAAGTTAGTTGATAAGCCGAATGTGAATGAGTTGACAGAAGAAGATATAAGTGAGAAGTTATTGGAGTTGACAGACCTCGAAATTATGTTTAAGGATGATAACATTGTAACTTCTTGCAATGCAATGAACTTGTAACTGAGACATGTGACTGAGACATGGGCGGTTTTTTCACTGACTTTGTCTTTGATGTTTTAGCACTATTTATATGACTTTGATATTTTAGCACTATTGACATCATTACGCAAAATTTCCGATGCAAAGTTGTTCAGACCTTCCAAGCTTTGCCTTGCCAATGTCCTTCAGCAAGACCCTGTATGCAGTCCCAACTTGCTGTTTGTAATGAGTTGCGTCCAACACTTTCCCTTACGAACACACCAGCTCCAGGATTGCAAGAATCTTCTACGTAATAGTGAAGTTTGACTGTTTTTTCCCTCTCTTGGACACTGATGATGTGTGAAATATAGTCTTCACCATCTGCACAGGCAACCACTGCAACATCATTAGGCTCAGGATAAAATGGGACATTCACATCATCACAAGTAATTGGCAAGGATTTCCGCATATAGTCAAGGACAATGTAACAGTCTGGATTATCTAGGTGTTCGGGGATTGGATAAAGCATTACTTTGCGAAGTATGTTGTCAGTAGGAACAATAACTTGTTGTAATGAAGGAACAACAAGTTTCCCCATATTGTAACAACAAGTTTCCGGGTTTCCATTGTCATCTTCCTTATCCGCAAAAAAGTTGCCCCTTAGAAAGCTGTGAAATTGGTTATCAATTACACCACAAATGAAAGCATCGACTTGTAGAACAGCTTCACTTTCATTGTCAACATTGACAATGACATTTTCACCAGCCCTGTAAACGATATTATCAACACCAGGGCACAATTTCAACAAGCGAGGAAAAATAAGACCCTCAGTCTCAATTCTCTGAGCTTCGGGATAGTGTTTTTGGATAAGATCCTTCTCGTGGCTTGATAATTTTAAATCATTGCGTTCTTGTTTACCAATTAGGATTCCACTGTCGACATTTTGTGACTTGGAAAGTAGCTCTGCAAGGAGTTTTTGTGCTTCAGATATGCTGCTTGCACAACCTTTCATTTTGTTGCACTTTCTCGAACTTGTATTCGTTGGTGGATAAATCTTGCACTTGAAGCTTTTTAAGAGTTCCCTTCTTGCTTCACTCTTTGCAAAAGTGAGTTCAATGTTCTTTTTATTCGATGAAGTGGCAATAAATTGGGAAACAGCCCTCTCATAAACTTCACACCAGTAATTATCAGGTGAGGAAAAACGAAGAATGTCTTCAGTTGCATGCTCAAGATTATGAGCAGTCACAACACATTGGTTAAGACCAAGCTGCTCTTCTACAAGAATCATATGACGTTGTGCCAAATTGTCAAATAATGTTATGTCATCTTCTTTCCAACCATTTCTTCCATAATAGTAAACCATTTCAGCCATTCATGCAGCTAAAACCCAAATCTTAAAGTATTCATCGTCAACGAGACCTCCCAACACACACTCAGATGCTGGAAATGCAAATTTTCTGTATTCTTCAGCTTTCCATTTGCCAATTTTTGTACAAGATTTAGGAACTCTGCCACTTTTTAGCTCACTAGTCCAAGGCATTGCTGCAAGTCTCTTATCCAACATTGACTTGGTAGCGGAGGTTACTTCGCCATCATTAAGGAAGCGGTTAATATGTTTATTGACGACATTCAGCGGAATGTTATGCATCATGTCAAACACAGTATCTGATATCACGTTAAAACCATACAATTTGTGCAGTCTATGAAGTATAGACAATCCAGTATACCCACTTTCCTTCGCTAGGTTAGATCGAACAGTTGGTCGATCTTCATCTTCAATCTTTGACATCTTCTGCACTTCATCCTCCAAAACACGAGGAGCAACGGGAAACCTTGCATGATACCTGTTATCTCCAATATAATAAGTACTTCCGCACTCTATATTAGTACCTCTTAGATGATGTCTTCTGCAAGGAAAGATTCCACAGTTGATAAATTTCCCCACTTCACATTGGGCTGGATAATCCCCAGTCCACAGCAACAGCATGCAACGCACAATTGTCTGACCACATTTATATTCACCAATATCTCGCGCATAATTAACCTTCGTCCCCTCAATAAAACTGTCCTCTAGATCTCGAACAAGGGGTTCCAAAAAGGCATCCAAAGCACATGGGCGCTTTTTGGGGACTTTATAACAAGGGACAAAACCCACTACATAGACTTCACTTGTGGTGCACCGATCTTTTTTTGACATATTTAGGACTGACACATCTATAGCACCACATGTATGACTAGATTTTCCCCGGAATGGGTACCATCCATCCCAGTGCCCAATCAATGCAATATTTCTAGGATCACCATACGCTTTTTCACCCCCACAAGTATTCACCGCACCACAGTCACAGCAAGTAACGTTGTACTTATTACCATCATAGGACTCTTCAATTTGTTTTCCACTTATAATTGATGAGCAGAAACAACATCTGGTAGGCAAAAACCATTCAGAATCTGGGTCCCAAAACCAGGAGACTTCACTAAAGCGAGAGCCATCCCAAACTTCTTTAAGAGGAAACCAAGGTCCTTCATGATCAAGCCAATGGTCTTTCTCATCCCAGAATGTAGCCATTTTCTGACACATGGAATAATCAGAGCACCACAATTTGACTTTTTGATGGAGACCAATATAATAGTACTGTATAGTCCCAGGTTTTCCACAGAATCTGCATTGGGAATCTTTACTTTCCATAACATCATAATTGGCATGATGGCTTTCATCCAGGCAGATGAAATATTCTTTCGGATCTTCATAACCCACCTCTTTTAGCAACTTTTCAGTTTCTCTCCAATTAGATGGCCAATACTGTTCAAGGTTTTTGTCACCTTTGCAGTAAAGGTCCTTTGCATAATTTAACAGGCTTTCAATACTTTTAACCGATGATTTCATTTCATCTGCTAGCATTAGCCCTTTAAGGATGCTGAATACTATATCATCTTTCACACCAGCTTGACTAGTAGGTGTGGATGAGTCTGAGGATGAACTTCCAGCCCTTGATCGACCATCGATGTCTTCCTCCATGTGATCATCATCCAAACTGTCTTCAATTTCACTACCTATACTGTTTGGTGGGGATCCATTGAAACTGCCTTCATCATCACTGGTACCTTCACTAGTACTGCTCTGAGCAATAGTATGATTCCTAATAAAAAACCATACAACAGGTGTAGAGGATTGTATATATTATTACATGAGCTGTACACAATAGAATTAAATCATTGGAAGGTACAACAATGGCAAATTGTGTTTAATTAATTTTTATATTGTACATGATAATGTATAAAAATATACACATATAAATTGTATGTAACATAAATTTCATTGTGTTTTCAAAGATTAAACATGCAGGGTGCATTCCATGTAAAGTGTATGCTGGATTTATGCCAAATTTTGCTATAAAAATATTGTAGTTTTAAAAATCCTTGCCGGATATATCCGGCGTTTGATATATATACCACTGCAGACATGAGTGGAGACTGGGGATTAAAGTTTTGCATGAAATTAGGCATTGTTTATATTCCTTACTTATATATTACCACTGTTCTACCTTAATTATAATGTGGTTCCACATACCCCATGCAATTTCTCTGATTTCTATAATGCATCTCATGGGAAATTCCACTCCCTAGGACACATACTAGCGTAGCCATCCCGACGATTTAGTCCGGTGTCAAGCGAAATTCCTGACCTCTGCGAAATACCTGACCATGCAATGGGTCATATATTTCGCGCGTGCAGGCGCGAAATATATGATGCTTGATAAATTCTAAGTCGGCCAAAACTGTTTTTTAGAGTTTAGATAAAAATAATCATGATGTTAATTTCTAATGCTTCATTAAATATTTCAAATCGACATCGCTAAGTTTCAGTTTACAAACACTTTAAATTTCAAAGCGGGTTGTGTGGTTGTGACCGCGAAATACACAACGTTTGCTAAATATGGTCAGTCGAAACGATTTTTAAGCCATTATATATACGATGTTTAATACCAATAGTATCGTTAAATGCATCACCTTTGAAACTGAAGCATCACCTTTGAAACTGGAGTCTATTTTATACATAGATATCTTATATGATTTTATACCACAAACAGCGCTTTTCGATTGATTTTAGATTCAAGCTTTATTATCGCTGAACGCTTACGTTCACAACTAGTGGTATAGTGTAAATTGTATAATTTGAAAATGTATGTATAAATATTATCCAACAAAATGACTTTATAAATACACGTGTTGTCTGTTGAGTTGCGAAATTTATGAGCCAAAGTCCTTCATGCGTATCGTCTGCGCATGGGCAGTTTTACAATAGTCAGATATTTAGAAAGTCAGGAATTTCGCGTCACACCATCTATGCAAATATTTTCGTATTCATTGACTGTGAAAACAATCAATTTCTAAGGAAATGAATAATGATAATAATTTTGAATTTGCATAGCGGGAATAAATTGTCGGGCTGGCTATGCCACTGGACACTAATGGTACTTTATACTGACCCAGGACAATAGGACAGTTTATACAGGGTGTATAAAAAAAAAGGTAATCGAACTTCAGCGCGCTATTATACACCCTGTATTGAAACATGCAGCAGAATTGACATACTATTTGTCCAACAAATATCAAGTCAATTTTTTTACATTGCAAATATGCCCAATTGCCTAAATACTGATTGTTAAGAACTTACTGTAACAATAGGTTGTTTCTTTCCCAGTGGTTATACTCAGTGGAAGAGGAAACGGCTTTTCCATTGCAGAAATGACATGGGCAATGTGAGTGTCTGTAATTGAGCTCATCGCATGTACACGTTGAAACTTCGTTTCTTGACCAAGATAACTCGTTAAAATTCATTCAGATACAAAAAGATACTCAGACACTCAGTGGTACTTTTAATCTTGCAAATCAGTGAAACAAAAAAGAAAATCGACTCTCGAATCACAGAATATTTGTCCGCATTTTTACAAGCGATTCGTCAGTGATTCGTCATCAATCACGCCATCCTGGCTAGTACAACCGGCACTTTGTACCTACCAAAACCTGATAAAAACTTCCGGTTGTACTAGCCAGGATGACGTGTTGGCGTGAGCGAGTTAAAATTTTCGTGCACGTAAAACAATAGAGTTACTCTTCTGCTGTAACTTCCTATTCTGTGCTCGAATTGACTAATATTCAAATGTTGCCACTTGGCATGAGAATTTTGAATTTTTCCGTTCCCAATTTCGCTGGAAATTTCACCGGAACGTTTTCGCTAATAAAGTGGAAAACCGCCTTTGCGCGGGAAAATATGTTGAGAAATATAACTTTAAGAATGAGTTGAAAACTTTTTACTGTGATTTGTCGAAGTAGTTTAAGATTTTAATATTTTAAAGACAATTTTTTTGGAATATGGATGTATCAGAAGCTCCCGATGTAACTGACATAGAAAATTGGACAACAGTCGAAGTTTCCCAATGGATATTAAAGCATTTCAACGCAGAAACGGCGGACAAATTCAAAGGTTTTATTTGTAAAACATTCACTATATTGTAGTTTCTTTTACCATAGAAACACATTTTTATTAAGTATTTGCATATATTTACACATATTATATTGCATATATTTGCACATATTATTTACTGTCATAAATGGGCTTTTATTTGTAATCACACTGATTTTAAAACACTCAATTTTCGGATCATTTTGCATCAATATTTAATAATATTTATTTATATTTTGCATCAATATTTAAAACTATTTATTTACTGGCTTACGGTTGGCCATACCAAAGCCAATTTTAATCCTTGACAAGGATCATTATAAAAAAATCAAATTGCTTTTCTGTAGAACAAAATATCAAAGGTTCTTTATTGAAATATATGGCAGCAAATGGTACAGTAGAGCAGTTGAAGGAATGCGGTTTAGATGACATAGGTTCGCAATTGGAATTTCAGCGTCTCGTGAGACAATTTTCACAACACGATGCTCGTGAAATCAGTGTAACTGCATCTCCTTCGCCTAGCTGCTACAGCAGCTCCAGCACACCCTCCAGTTCATCAGCATCAAGTAAAAAGCCATCACGAAATGCAATGAAAAGTATGTCTGCTTTAGATGCAAAGATATACAAAGCTAAGTAAGTATCTATAAAATATATAGAGTCAGTGAAAAGTCAGTGGTGTAGACAAGGGGGAGGCCAGGAGGGGGCAAACACTCCCTCCTCCTTTCTCTGTATTAAATGCTCCTTTTCACCTTTTGATTCAAATGTTCCTTCTTCTGAGTAGGCGTCGTACTGTTCAAGAACATGCTGTTAAGCGGTGGCCAGGATTTGGGAAGGAAGGTATACGACAGCACATACTGGATACATTAAATGAAAGAAGAAGACGAATTCACAAAGGACATGACTATGATAAGGTACATACTCTCTTTCATGCAGTCGGAACATCAATTTTTCAGGGTTCCGGTTCCTGCCAACGGAACTCAAACTTATTTATCAAACAAACTTCATATTGTATATTTTCTACCTTGTAGCCATGGGGTGATCTTTTTAGTTCACAGCAGGAAGAAATTTAAACTACAGAAGGAAAATGGACAAATGGTCCATATTCACATTTCACACTGATGATTACCATTATTCAATCATTTCATTCTAATATTTGCAAACTGAAAATGTCCACAGTAACCTACCAACCATATATATATATATGCATATATGCCTTACTAAATTTGTTGTGGTTCTAGCCAGAACTTTTCGCCAGTTCCAGTTTGACCCGGTTCTGGCAGGTACTTACAGCCGTGCCAGTAGAAGCGTTCCGAAAAATGTTGACCAATTAATTTCCTAACTTGAAGGAACACCTCTGAACAATTCCTCAACAATTTGATAAGTTCCTTAATCCTAACTTCCTGTTTCATTAACCAATCAAATTTCATATTTTATTGTTGAGCAATCTGATTGGTCAATAAAACAGGAAGTTAGGATTAAGGAACTTATCAAATTGTTGAGGAATTGTTCAGAGGTGTTCCTTCAAGTTAGGAAATTAATTGGTCAACATTTTTCGGAACGCTTCTATTGGCACGACTGTAACAAAAAATAAGTGAACTGGTACATTCCTAATATCATCTCTTTTTTCTTATGCAAATATGTATTTTTAGTAATGTAATTACGTAATCATCGTACAGTATGCACATGTCAAATTGTTGCAAACTTTTTTCAATGTAAATTAAAATATCTCATTTGTTTTAATAATCTGATTAAGGGGGATGGTAGAGGAAAAACGACAGAAAAGAAAATCAATGTTCTTCCGCAAAAAGAAGATTCTGTTGGTCAAAAACTGGCAAAGCAACAACAAAAACCATGTGGTGCAAAAATATTCAAATTTCCAGAACTACCGAAACAATATGTTGTTGATGATAAAAGTGAAGATGAAGCTGATAAAAGTGAAGATGAAGCTGATAAAAGTGAAGATGAAGCTGATAAAAGTGAAGATGATGAGTGTAAAGAGATGGATAAAGGTGACGATAGTGACGAGGATGATAAACATGAAATGGCAGATGATGGACTTCATCCATCATGTGGTGATGAGATGGATTCTTCCAAAGACACCCCACAGCAGTCTAAGTCTAATGCAAGCACAGGTGGCAAAGGTAATTTTTTATTAACTTATTAACCGAGCGCGAGGTCTTTACTGAGAAATATCTAACCAAGGTATTTTTTTGTACAGACCAATTAAGTCCATAGGGCGAGGTTTGTGCAAAAAGACAGAGGTCCGATATTTCTCTGTACATACCGAGGTTAATAAAAGGTTTATTATATGGCGTTTATAGGCATTCATACTCGAAACAAACAAGAAATGTACGAATTGAAATGCATATTAGTAGCGTGGTACACATTTGATTGAAGAAAACAAAAATTACTAATGTATTCCTTCTTTTCCACTTAAAACCATTCGCAGATAACTTATAATTACAAATTAAATTATAGTGTATGTGTGTATATGTAAATATTTACTTGGGTAGTATGTATGATACGGTCAATTTATTTCACTAATCTTATAACTTTTGTATGCTTTTCTACAGTGATGACAGTAGCAGAGGCTGCAGAGATGGAAAACATGAGTGTACACTCAGCTGGACTTATTATCTCAGTTGCATTTCAAGCAATCAACATAAAAAGTATCACAAGAACCCAGCTTCTCTCAGCCAGTAAGACATTAAATTTAAAGTTGAAATGTTCCAGTAAAGAAGAGTTTCTAATGCCATTAGCTATGGCTCTTATCAAAGCAGGGTATATCAAAATTAAAAAAGGACGTAGTTTGCAGAAACTTAACCGAAGTGAGATTATTAGATTAAAAGCATTTTAGATTAGCTGTGATGCTTTATATTCAATTGAAACTGGTTCATATTGTTTTGTGCTTGTATAGTTTAAGTTCAATATCTTACAGGAAAACTTTTCCATCCTATAAAAACAAATATATGTTGGTGTCGGAAATAATTAGTTAAAGTTAGACCTTTTTGGTAATTATGTCACAACTACATTGTTTTCAACTGAAGGACCACCATTATTTTCTTGCATGTGTTGAAGAAGGATGTTCTGGTTCTCTGCACCAGGGTGCTATATATAGCGATCAATAGCAGTCTGCACATAGCCCATTAGTTGAAAACAATGTAGTTGTGACATAATTACAGTAACGAAAAGGTGTATTGTAGTACACAAGAATTTTGTTTAAGTTAATTAGGTTGTTAGTTTAATTCAAGAACATGCCAAATGGCAAACTGTTTAAAGGATTGGTGCTCATGGTGGTAATATTGCAGGCTAATTGTGTTGTAAATGTAATGTCAAATGTTCAGTTGTGTTAAACATTAAAATTTTGGGGTAGTACCATGGTACTTTTTAGTACCGGTATTTGTTATAGCTTTATTACCTTTAGTATCTGTTTCAATAATATTTAATTTGTTTTGCACTTTTCCCATTCACGCCATCTAGCTATATGAATGAGCGGTCATTCATACCTGTCCAATGGAAAAGGTAATTTCCATGATGTAATATGGATATAAACCATTCATAACATTCATGGAAAAAGATTAATTACCATGATGTAATATAGATATAAACCATTCATAACATTCATGGAAAAACATTAATTACCATGATGTAATATGGGTATAAACCATTCATATCATTCATGGGAAAAGATTAATTACCATGATGTAATATGGAAAAAACCCACTCATATTATTAATGGAAAATGATTAATTACCATGATGTAATATGGATACAATCCATTCATATCATTCATGGAAAATGATTAATTACCATGATGTAATATGTATATAACCCACTCATATTATTCATGGGAAATGATTGATTACCATGATGTAATATGTATATAACCCACTCATATTATTCATGGAAAATGATTGATTACCATGATGTAATATGGATATAACCCACTCATATTATTCATGGGAAATGATTATTTACCATGATGTAATATGGATATAATTCATTCATATCATTCATGGAAAATGATTAATTACCACGATGTAATATGGATATAACCCACTCATATTATTCATGGAAAATGATTATTTACCATGAAGTAATATGGATATAATCCATTCATATCATTCATGGAAAATGATTAATTACCATGATGTAATATGGATATAACCCACTCATATTATTCACGGAAAAACATAATAACTGTAATGTAATATGGACATAAACCATTCATATCATTTGTGGCAAAAGAGTAATTACCATGATATTTTTAAGCCATTACCCATTCATAGAATTTGTGATATTTTCCTTTTTACATTAATGGTAAGTACTTAAAACCATTAATGATTATGATAACGAAAACCATTGATGTAAATTATTCGCCTTACCCATTGATGGGAATTCTTAATGGGAAATGTATTATTTCCCACTTTCAAATCCATTAATGGAATTTTGAAAATTTTTCCTGTGGATGTTTGCAATACTATTCACATGCTTCCCAGATTACCTGAGGATACTGGAACAATAAAAGTTCAGTTAAAACGCCGACTACAATATAAAAGTTCTGCACTTTCTTTAAACGTAAGACCCAGTAAAGTTATGCAAGCTGCTGCTTGGTTGGTAAATACTAGTGATTTATATAGGGAGCAAGGAATAACATTTGATGCGGATTGGATAGCTAACTTTAATCCTGTAATATCAAATGAAGATAACGAGAATGAAAATAAAACATCGGTTGATCAAACTAATTCAGTTTCTTCCGACGAAGAGTGGAGTGAAGAAGAAGCAGAGATACCTGCTGGTGTGACTGACAGTATGTTAACTTCTCCAGATTTTGTAGATGATGATGAAAGGCAGCACGTATACAATGTTGCCCCTGCTGAGGGTGGTAGACCCATCAGTATATTTAGAGATCAGTTCTCAGAGGAAATGGCTTACCCAGGAATATTTTTGGGTCAAAAAAGACCTGATAATAATCAAAGATATTAAAAACTGTTTACTATAGCGAAATATGCAAATCAGAATTAAGACGATCTGATCGACGAGCTGCGATGTGCATTGAGAATATATTCTTTAAAGCCAAAAAATTACAGATGAAATTATTGCTTGGACAATCGCAGGTAGCTTTACGAAAGTGCAAATTGGGAAATAGAACACTCAATGCAGGACAGTTGAAAACACCTGAAGGTTTAGAAAGTTTAATTCGCCATGATGAAGGGTATAAATTCTTAAGAGCTTTAAGAGGTTCACCACCTTACTTTGAAAAAGCTAAAAAAGACCTGTTTGCCATGATTCGCCAATTAGGACCAGCATCGCTATTTTGCAGTTTTTCGTCTGCTGAAACAAAATGGAACCATTTATTAAGGATCCTTGGTAAACTTATTGATCACAAAGATTATAGTGATAAAGAATTAGACAATCTTACATGGGATGAAAAGTGTAGACTTATCCAAAGTGATCCAGTAACATGTGCAAGGCATTTTGATTACCAATTCAATACTTTTTTAAAACAATTTTTAATGAGTGATATTGCTCCTGTTGGAAAAATAAAAGATTGGTTTTACAGGGTTGAGTACCAACAGCGAGGGTCACCTCATATTCACATGTTAATATGGCTTGAAAACGCGCCTGTGTTTGGTGTTGATAAAGATGAAGATGTCACTGCATTCATCGACAAAATAATAACATGTGGTAAGCCAGAAAATGACTCAAAATTACTTGAATTTGTAAACAGACAAACTCATAAGCATTCTCACACGTGCCGAAAAAACGCCCAAAAAATTTGTAGATTCAATTATCCTCAACCACCAATGAGATCTACACAGATACTTTATCCACTGGATGATGATACTTCTCGGACTGTAATAAGAAGCAGAAAAGATGTATGGAAAGACATTAAGAATAAACTGAATGATCTGAAAGAGGGTGAAGACATGACATTTGACCAACTTCTAAAAGACTTAGATGTTTCAGAACACGATTATATTCTTGCAATTAGATCATCGCTTAATTGTCCAACAATATTTCTAAAACGAAGTCCGAATGAATTAAGAATTAATAATTACAATCCTGCATGTCTCCAAGCATGGCGAGCTAACATGGACATTCAGTTTGTCCTTGATGTTTATGCCTGTGCAATGTATATTGTCTCCTACATTTCAAAGGCACAAAAAGGCATGAGTGAATTGTTATGCAAAGTTTGTGCTGAAGCTAAACAGGGAAATTCCAGTATAAAGCAACAGGTTCGCGATATTGGAAACAAGTTCTTAAACTCAGTAGAAATAAGTGCTCAAGAGGCGGTGTATATCATTCTCCAACTTCCAATGCGAAAGTCCTCTCGAAACGTCGTGTTCGTTAACACATCCCCATCATGTGATCGGGTTGAACTACTGAAACCATTAAGTGAAATTGAGAAAATGTCAGATGAATCGGAAGAAATCCATTCAGGTGGTCTTCTCCAACGATATGCTGAAAGACCAGATTGTTTACAAAATACTACATTAGCTGACTGGGCAGCATGGTATGACTCTTGTGGACAAAGAAAATATAAAAAAACGCTTAAAAAATCAGATGTAGACCACCTTCCATTGGAAGATGAAGATGAGAACAATGATGATGAACTTTGTGATGAAAACACTGAAAGTTGTATTTCTTCTAAAAAATCAATTAAAAAAAGAACACAAGCTAGAATTATTCGAGCGTTTGGTTTAATAAAGAAACTCAACAAGAAAAACATTATCGAGAGTTGATCATGCTCTTTACTCCATGGAGGAATGAACTGACAGATTTAATGAGAAATTATTCTTCATTTCGAGAACACTATATAGCTCGATATGATGAGATAAATGAGCAAATGAGACAATATGCCGTTTGTAGTGAAGATTTGAATGAAATTCAACATCATTTACAGGAATGTGATGACGATATGTATGACACAATAGCACCAGTCACACAAGACACTGAACGTCGAGATCAGGATGAAGGCAATACAGATACACATCCAGATTTGAATGAAACTTATGATCTTTCTGAGGATTTGGGTATCCCATCATCATTACCAAATAATGAACCACTCATTTTAAATGAAATGCAAGACGATGAATATCGACGATTGCTCCAAATGCTTAATAGAAAGCAAAGAGAATTTTTTTACCATGCTTTGCATTTAATTAAAACATCTGATAAACCATTTTATGCCTTTTTAAGTGGAGCTGGAGGTGTTGGTAAATCTCACCTTATTAAATCAGTTTATCAAGCAGCATTAAAATACTATAATGCACAAGCTGGTGAAGATTTTCGTCGTGTTCATATATTATTACTTGCTCCTACAGGAAAAACAGCTTATATTATTAAAGGTAACACGATTCATAGTGCCTTGACAGTTCCAGCAAGTCAATCACTTAAAAATTATAAACCACTTGATTCTGGCAGGCTAAACACGTTTAGATGCAAACTGGGTGCATTAAAGTTGATACTACTTGATGAAATATCAATGGTTGGAAACAGCATGTTCACAGTTCAGTTGAATAACCGTTTGAAAGATTTAAAAGGAAGTAAAGAAGACTTTGGTGGGGTTAGCATCATTACACTTGGTGATTTGTTTCAACTTAAACCTGTCATGGATGGCTACATTTTCACTGATGTTCAGTGTTTAAGTTCTTATAATATTCTTGCTCCAAATTTATGGAAAAGATATTTCAGAATGTTTGAGCTTGATGAAATTATGCGACAAAGAGAGAGCAAGGAATTTGCCGAGATCTTAAATAGATTAAGAGAAGGTAAACATACTTCCAGTGACCTCAAGAAACTGAAGGAAAGATGTGTTAACGAATCTAGTTGTCCTACAGAAGCTCCACGTTTGTTTATTCAAAATGCTTTGGTTGATGATTATAATGAAAAAGTATATGAATCGTTTAGTGGAGATAAATATGTAATTAAAGCACAAGATAGTGTCATTGGAGCATGTTCTGCTGAGCTGAAAGAGAAAATAATGAGACAAATACCTTATGTTTCTTTGAGGAACTCTAAACAGTTGGCTAGTAAACTTAAACTTGTTGTAGGACAACGAACTGAAATGGCAGTTAATGCGCGAACTGATGATGGTCTTACAAATGGTGCTAGTAATATAATAAAGTTAATACAATTAAGAGACGAAAGTAAACCATCTGGTGTTGTTTGGGTCCAATTTGACTGTGAAGATGTTGGGAAAATAACCCGACAGGAAAACAGAAATCTTTATCATACAGGTATTGAAAGTACGTGGACACCAATAAAACCTGTTACAACACAATTTGCAGTGGGCAAAACTAAATCAGCTCAAGTTGTCAGGAAACAATTTCCATTACGGCCAGCATCAGCCAAAACTGTACACAGATCACAAGGTGATACTCAGGCTCAAATTGTTGTAAACTTAAATACTAACAGGACTATTCCTCATATACATTATGTTGCTTTAAGTCGAGTTACGACAATTGAAGAGTTATATATCACTGATCTATGTGAAAATAAAATATCTGTTGATCAAAGAGTTGTCAAAGAAATGGAAATGTTACGAACTGAACGTAGCTTAAAACTTTGTTTTACACCATTGTATATGTTGGATCATTCGGATTTAAAAGTCTGTTACCTCAATGCACGATCTCTGCATAAACACATTGAAGATGTTCGGAAAGACATCAATTACTCTTCAACTGACATTGTAATATTTACTGAGACAAGGTTTAGCCCATTGGACCCTGATGAAATGTACAATATAAATGGTTACAGACTATTTAGAAACGATATTTCTCAATTTTCTGGTCCTGGAAGACCATATGGTGGAACAGCTGTTTATAGCCGAATCCCTTTAAAAGAACGTTATCCATATGCTCACAACACTAATGGAATTGAGTTTACAATTATCAAAACCGAAAGTCACCCAAACCTGACTATAATTGGGTTGTATCGTTCTCCCAGTATTGCTTTATCACGCCTACTTTCTGCTCTTCGAACTATTCTTGATCAAGATTCCTCTTCACAAAACATATTCATTGGAGACTTTAATATAAACTGGATGGCGGAAACTGACCGGCAATCGCTTTACAACCTAATGCTTAGAGAAAATGACTACCGACAATTAATATCATCTTTTACAACAGATAACAGAACATTAATTGATCATTTATATACAAATTTGATTGAGGAAGAAATTAATGCTGGCATTCTTGAAACCTACTTTAGTGATCATAAAGCTATATGGGCTTCAGTCAAACGGTAATTCCAACTGCAACCACACATCAATTGTAAAATCGACATCATTGAATTTCCCTAAGTTCAAAACTCGCTTGCAACATGTACGCACCGCGTACCTATTTTTATAAATTATTGTCTAATCTTTAAAATTATAATTTCGAAAGTCTCATTTTAATCTCTATATTATAATATTGTTATCTCTAATTGTATTAATGAAAAATGATAATAATAATTTATTATTAATAATAATAGCCAACAATGTTTCATTACAATATTCTAAATGATGCTGCACCTCACACACGAGACTGCAAAGTTAGATTTTCAATCTCATCCAATCACATCCCTAATTTTAACCCTAACCCTAATCTCCACTTAATCTCAGTTTTCATGTTATTGGTTTGAACTCGAATTCACAAATTCTTGTACCTGGAAAGGTTTAATGGACATTTTACTTCTTTATTGGAGGACATTCAATTCAAATGTCCCACGAACATTTCAGTTTGTATAGACAATTGGCTTATACGGTGGAGAAGCATTCCAGTGGAAAAGTAATGGCAGATGACGTCATTATTTAGGTATCAGAATTTTGGAAACTCACAGTCGATGAGGATAAATGTAGAAGGGTTTTTTGTAGATGAAAATTTCGAGACAGTGTAAATTTTGGACATTTTTAGAGCTACCGTAACCAGCGGCACCTGCGGAAAATACAATTTTAGCCCCTCTAGCAGGAATCGAATTGAACCTGCGGTGCTGCGATCGTGCAGCGCTCTATGTAACTAAGCTAGAGAGACTAGCGATCAATCGAGCTTTAACCGCAAGTGCATGTATATATGTACCTCCTCCTTTTAAATTACCGTAAACCTCCGACTATAAACCCTGGGCTTATATACTTTCGTAAGCGATTTTTGATGGGCTTATACAAGGGGGAGGGGGGCTTATATACGGGTGGACTTATACATGGACGATCTTTTGTGTTGTAACAAAGACAAGTCAGACATAAACAAGTCAGTCATAAACAGGAAAATTAACGTATATTAAACAGCGATTACTGGGCTTATATTAATTGGGGGACTTATATTCTGGGGGCTTATATTCGGGTGGGCTTATATTCGGGGGGGGGGGGG